TTTAGACAATCACTTGACTGGGATGGTTCATTCAGGGATGTTCCTGCCTTCAGCAAGGGGTTGGACAAGATGACCTCATGAGGCACTTTCCAGACCTATGTTGAAAGGGTATTAAGTGTTTAAACAAAGAGAGAGATTACCAGAACTTCCTTCTTACTTACCACTGCTTGAGACATGCAAGGCAACCAAAACCTAGGGCTATAGTAATTCCTATTCTCTGTAGAGTAGGAGAAAGAATGGTACCGCTGTGGGGGGATTCATTAGTGAGCTACTCCTGTCTTGAGGAAGGCAGTTTTGCCTTGTCCCTGGAGAAACTGGATTGTTGACCACGCAGATTTTGGGTTTACATACTTGGGGGTCACCTAAGTTCTAGCCTAGGTGGCTCCAGTACAGCCAGAAATGGGAACTTGTGGTTATTAGGCCTAGGAACTAATTTATACGCTGGTGTCCTTGGCTGGAGGAATAACATTTGAACTTAAGACTTACACTCAGGGAGACTGAAAGATGTAAAATATTAACCTTGGCTTATTGTGTTTTTCCATCAGTCCGATGCACAGAGGACTGGTGTTTATCTTTGCCCTGTGAAAATTTATGGGCTAACAACGAAAAATGCTGTTTATGCATCAGGTTTTTAAAGTGTGGCTTCACATGTTGTGCCTGCAGTTATTCACAGGTGTAATTTACATCACTTTGTTATTGTGCATCTACTAGTGAGGCAGGGTGGCCTACTACAGTGGGTGCCAACCTTTTTGGCAGGTATGCCACAAATAAGCCCTGTACTTTCCCCAAGTTCTCCTCTGATCCCCTGTATCTGCCCAATCTGTTGCTCTGCTTTCTGCTCCTTGCCCTATGCCCCCTGCCTAATTTGTTGCTCTTTTCTGCTTCCTGGCCTGTGCTTCCTGCCTGATCCTCTGCTTCCTGCTCTATCTGCTGCTGTTCTGCTGGTCCCCTGGTGGAACATACAAAGGCTGCCTGTGCTGCTGCGCATGCTGCAGGCTGGCCACCCCTGACCTGCAAGATCAAACAGTGGATCTATTAGATAAAACTCCATGAATTAAGTTAAATGTCTTGCACCCACTAGTTTGCTGGCTCTTCGTCTTAAATGTCTCATTAATGGTCTGTCTGAATTCCTCGTGTCTGATGTGTCACTGTGGTAGGTCACCACGAGACATGCCAGGATGCTGTACTGGAGCTGATGTAATATAGCCGAACGTTGAGAAATTCAAATCAATTTAGTTTACTGAAAACTCCAGCAGAAAAGATCATGTTTTCCAGGTTAAATACCTTTGTTCCACTTAATACTTCTTTTTCAGTTAATTTTTTTCTACCCACTAATCTGAATTACCAGCATAGGTAATCTTTAACTACTAGCCACAGAGTAAGGCAGGTCACTGGTATTTTCCCCTCTGTGTATTTGCACTGCGTATCTCTATTATCCTTGTATGTCTTCCTTTGCTATACTGTGCTATTAGAGCTGGGTGAAACTATCATTTCCCCCTGTAGGCTATTCCACAATCCTTTTGTTCAATTCAGAGATTCATGTCCCTTGCATAATGTGTTAAACTTTGTGATCCACACAAAGAAGCAACCTAGTGGTCTTTGCCCATATTAAGTGAAGGTACTTCTTCCGTGATTTCCACCAAAAACCATAAGACAAGATTTTTAGCAGGTACAACTCAGAATGGCTACACTGAAACCAGTAGGTCATGGTGAAGGGATGATTTTGGTTACTTCAGCTAATTTATATCACATGAGGATCTGTTTTGGATTTGACCCAGGTTTGCTTGAAAGTTTTGTTAACCTCAGCAACCCTTGGGGCTATTTTTGGGTTTGTAACAGATTACAAAGTTTTATGCATGGGTAAATTATTCAGGTCAGAATGGGGTTAATCCCCAGTGTATTTGATTTCATGCACACTGGAATAAAATCATAAAAACATTGATCAAACCAGTCCACTAATGCATTAATGTACATGAAGATAACAATTATATTCTTTTGGCCTGATCCTGTAGAGAAAATCATTCAAACTTCAAATATATGCTCCTTTGAGGAATGCAGAATCAGATAATGCCTGAATCTCTGTGTTGCCGATGCCCTCACTGTTCCCTTCCACTGTCTCTGCACTTTAGTGTCACTTAAGAAGGAGGTACAGGTGCTCACCATGCCCTGTCTACATTCACATGGCTTACTTAAAGTAAGCCATGTGAATGTAGACCAAGAGTGGTGTGTACAGGCATTCACCACTCCTGGGAGCAAGATGGGGAAACCAGTATAAGTAAAGTGGGTTGGGGAAAGGATGGGGGGGTAATGGGTCTGTAGTGGGGTTTGGCAAATTGGCAGGGAGCTGGCAGGTCTGTGTAGGGAATTGGTGGGTCTGCAGGGGGAGGTCAGCCATTTGGGGTGCGAGAGTTGAAAGGCTAAAAATAGCCTGAGGGGTAGGAAGATCACATTCCCAGGGATGCAGTGAGTGGCTGGGCTTTCCCAGCCCCAGGGCAGCACTCCGAGCGTGTACAGACATTTGATAGATTGGGTTAGCTCATTCCTAATCTAAGTTAGTTCATCTGTTCTGGTGAACCAACTTAGATCAGGCCTACCATTTTGGGGTGATTTAAAGCCCCATGAATGCCTGTACAGATGGATTTAGATCATCGATGATGCATAAGTGTTGACAGTGGGGGGGAACAACTCTGTACTGCTGCTGACTCTGCTGCTGCTGGGTGCTGCCTTTGACCCAGCTATAGCTCTGTGCCCCATGGTCAGTCCAGAAATCGCAGAGCCACTGCCACCCCAATTGCTGCTGGGCCCTGGCTGGGCTGCAGTCTTGAGCCCCATGTCACACCACTGGTACAGAAATCGGGGGGGGGGGG